GGCCTCCCTAATATCGATGGCCTCCAAGCTAAGAGTGATGGTTTGAACATGTTGGAACCTTCTATCGGCCTCCAACCTGCAAAGAACAAGAATAAGAATGTGTAACAAGGTGATTTTGAACAATTTCGGAGTTTTGATTGTCGTCACAAGAACAAGTGATTACAATCCTAAAGGTTCACTTTCTGCCCCAGCTTTCGGCTACTTGCTATGAAGGAAGTAGGTCTCCTACAGTGGCCTTCTCAAATGCATCTTTGCAAGCATGCAGGACTTTGACGTCACTAGCAAGTACAAGAAGCTACTAGGGGCTCCTGGCCGTACTACTAGTTTTTTTCTCTCTAGTAGCTTCTGGTTCCTAGTAGAAGTGCCCTTTGCTCCTAGTAGCATCCTTGTTCCTAGTAGCGATGCCAGGAGCCCCTAGTAGCATCCTAGGAGCATGGTACTACGAACAAGATCGCTGACTTCGGTGAATTCCTTTAGATACTGTAGTTGTGCCCTTGCTCGTCTATCTTTTCTGTTTTTCTTATTGTCGTAGTGCCTTATTGTCGTTTTCTTTATGTGCCCTTTTTCTTGTCTTTTCTTTCTTGTCCCTCCTTTCTTCCTTCTTTACATTACTGGCAAGGACGCTATTGGGTGGAGGCACAAGTAGGTTGGAGGCCATCGCTAGTAGGAGCAAGGACACTACTAGGGGCTCCTGGCATCGCTACTAGGAGCAAGAAGTTTTTTTTCTAGTTTCGTAACAAGAGTGTGACATTCAAATGCCTCTTACAGCCACCTCTCGACATCTCGCAAGCCTCTGATGGACACCAAGCTGCATGGGCCGTCCGTTGCGTCTGCTTTAGAGGCCTTACCAAAACCCAATGCGCCTGACTCGAGTTCCGCACATATCTAGATCTAGAGCTTCAAATACATACTAAAGAGCTTCTTGTTACTAGTAGCCTCCACCTAGTAGAATCTAGTTACTAGATCCAGCTTCCCACACATATCTATTTTAGTATTCTCTGTCTGACAAGAAGCACGTCTCCGTATTTGTATGTTCTGGCGCTGTGCAAACGACAACATTCGAGGCAAAGACTGACTCATCCTGGCCTTACGTGCCATGTAAGAAACGGAGAACAAGCAGAAAACAGCGATGGCCTCCAACCTACTAGCAATGGCCTCCAACCTAATTGAAAACAAACCTGTGTCTCCATGTGTTGCAAAACGAACGACCAGATTCCTCCTGATGTCCCGTGTCGTCTCACGGCTGAGTTCTGGGCGTTGGTCCCCCCTTCAGGGCGGGCCTGAAACACGTCTGGCGAAAGACATTGAATTCCAAGAAAATATCTTCCAAATAGGCTTGGAGGCCATCGTTATTAGAGGCCATTGCTAGTAGGCACCTCCTTAGCACGTCCGTAGCTAGCTAGCTACTTAAGTTCTCCTCACGCCGTATCCCTTCCCAAAAGAATGGTAATTCATTATTGATGACGTATTACTTAGAATATATCTTAAAACACATGATGTAACAAGAAGCTACTAGGGGCTCCTGGCATCGCTACTAGTAACAAAGGGCCTTACTACCAGTAACAAGAAGCTACTAGGAGCAAAGGGCATCGCTACTAGGAGCACATGATGCTTTTTGAGATATTTGTGTTAAGCGAATCGTCCAGCCGAAGTGAATTCGTTTGATCCTTCCGGCCTCACAGAGCCAAAACTCGACTAGATTTGAGCCACAAAAAGAGCAAACAGGAGCCCGTTGTTCCTAGTAGCATCCTTTGTTCCTAGTAGCAAGGCCAGGAGCCCCTAGTAGCGTCCTTGCTCCTAGTAGCGATGCCCGTTGTTACTAGCAGCGTCCTTTTGCTACTATAGGATTGCCATTGTCCAAAAAGAGAGACATTCATAGATTCCGTTTCTATTAGTAGGTTGTTGCAGCATGTGTATGTGAGACCTCTTACGCCGTGCTTTCTGTTTTGCGCAGTGAATCAGCGGTTGGACTCGGAGGTTGGTTCAAACTCCAAATCGCTGTACAAGTCTTCTGCCTCCAGGCAGTCCCACCTCCACTTGACGAGTTTCAAGTCTTCTTTGGACAAGACCTTCATTTGATCCCAATACTTCAGTAGGTTGCAATATGCTTCCCTCTCTTTGGTGGGCATGATGCGGATTTCATATCCGATCTTCACCAAGAACTTCTCCACGCACATCTGCATGGTGTCTTCGCGCAGCATGTGACGCTTGTAGCGCATCAACATCTGATGGACTGTATAAACGATGGACTTTTTGTGCGCCACTCGATTTTTCAGCTTCTTGAAAGCATCTGCCAAGGTTCGAAAAACCATTTGGGCACCCACAGACTCCAAGGATTTCTTGGCCAAAATCTCGGCAAACTTGGGGATCGCCTCTTTGTCACGAAGACCTTCTGGACTCCCAATGTAAGTGATATGTCGGTGGATTTGCCGCAGGCCGTCGGGAATTTTGGAGATGTTTTTGCGGTCCTCTTCCTTGGTGCTTCGTAGAATTGGTGCTTCGTAGGCTGTACCTCGCATGATCGCCACAGACTTCCACTTCTGCAGCTCAGAATAAAGTTCGTGTGTCTCTCCAACCAAGTGGGCCCTGGCACCAAGCTTGGCAGACCTAGGAGGCCGCTTCATTCGGTTGGAGGTCGCTTCTAGTAACAAGGGCATCGCTACTAGTAGCTAGAACGCTACTAGGGGCGCTCCTGGCATTACTACTAGTAGCAAGAAGCTACTAGGTTGGAGGCCATGGCTTATTAGGGGTTCACAGCGCTTTTTATTCTTACATGTAAAAGAAAACGCTCAGAATAGAAGTCTCTGACACCCAGTTTGGCAGTGCTTAGACCGTACCACATTCCAGACCCTAGAAGTCTCTGTCTTAGCCTGGCCAACTCTACCTCCGCCGTGATGTCAGCCCCACAGATGTTTTTGTTTATGCCCGTGGAGGGAGCCAACCGCAACCGATTTTAGCCAGATGATGTGGAGTGAACTACAAGCCAGGGAGCTTCCACCATTTTGAGGAGACAAGTGCCTTACTAGTAGTAACAAGAAGCTACTAGTAACAAGTGCATCGCTTCTAGGAACAAGTGCCTTACTAGTAGTAACAAGGACGCTAGTAGTAACAAACCAGGGAGCCGAGACTTGGGTTCTGAGATGAGAAATAGAAAGAATTTGCCAAAGCGACTGTTTTGCCAGCACTTCTCCTTCCACTCCCACGTCCGAAACGATGAAAAAGACCAAGACGTTCGACAGATTCTGCCGTATATCATCCAGTCCAACGGCCGTGCCCGGTGGTGCAGTGCCTGTGGCTGCCAGGAGCTACTAGTAGTAATGCCCTTGTTTCTAATGGCTTCTTGTTACTACTAGTAAGGCACTTGTTACTAGAAGCGATGCACTTGTTACTAATAGCTTCTTGTTTCTAATAGATTCTTGTTACTACTAGTAAGGCACTTGTTACTAGAAGCGATGCACTTGTTACTAATAGCTTCTTGTTTCTAATGGCTTCTTGTTACTACTAGTAAGGCACTTGTTACTAGAAGCGATGCACTTGTTACTAA